AACATTTCTACATCTCCCAGTACTGTCTACACCTACAGTACTCTACAAACATTTCTACATCTCCCAGTACTGTCTACACCTACAGTACTCTACAAACATTTCTACATCTCCCAGTACTGTCTACACCTACAGTACTCTACAAACATTTCTACATCTCCCAGTACTGTCTACACCTACAGTACTCTACAAACATTTCTACATCTCCCAGTACTGTCCACACCTACAGTACTCTACAAACATTTCTACATCTCCCAGTACTGTCCACACCTACAGTACTCTACAAACATTTCTACATCTCCCAGTACTGTCTACACCTACAGTACTCTACAAACATTTCTACATCTCCCAGTACTGTCCACACCTACAACACTTCTACTTTTTTGTACATACATTTTTGCAGATTTTACTTACACTCTGCATGAAAACCCATGTTGCATCACCACTATGATACAACATACTTTGCTATTCTATAACATCACTATACACTTCCCACAGGTATGGTGCTGTTGCCATGATGCACATGTTGGTACCAAACAGCCTCCCACGAGGGGCACAAAACACATGCAAACTTTTCACTGCATTATAAATTGTGAGCACACGAATCAAGATGTCTCCTCAACAACAAGTACATAGTAATTCACTTATGAAGTATATCCAGATAAAATTAAATCCTTGATATAGAGGCAGGCTTCACTTTACAGCGCTTTGATGTACGGTGTTTCGCTAATGCAGCAGTTTTCAGTTATACTCGTTCTTCATTTATTCAGACTTCCTACAATAAATATATTCACTGCTCATTATAAGCTAAGGATGAAAATATTTTAAGTAATGTGTATTGTATACACATTTTTTGGGCCTAGTTCTATTGCTCACTTAATATATGATAGTGTAAACATATCAGGTTTTTATATGAATTTGAATTTTGGAAGTGAAAAAAGGTCTATGTTTCACTTTACAGCAGTAGCCTGGAAACTGACCTGCTGTACAAGTGGGGCCTGACTGAATATTGTAAAATTACCAATAAAATGTTACATAAATGGACACAGATGCATCTAATGTGACATTTTGTATTGGCTTGACAAAGCTCTTGGAGAACAAAACATTTCCACAATAAATGTCACATTAGCTAAATTTGAGTCCATTTACCTAATATGATGTAAATGGTTTAAGATAATCCAAAACTTGCTTTAATCTAATTTTTTTTTTTTTTTTTTTTCAACAAGTCGGCCGTCTCCTACCGAGGCAGGGTGACCCAAAAAAAAGAAAGAAAATCCCCAAAAAGAAAATACTTTCATCATTCAACACTTTCACCACACTCACACATTATCACTGTTTTTGCAGAGGTGCTCAGAATACAACAGTTTAGAAGCATACACATATAAAGATATACAACATATCCCTCCAAACTGCCAATATCCCAAACCCCTCCTTTAAAGTGCAGGCATTGTACTTCCCATTTCCAGGACTCAAGTCCGACTATATGAAAATAACCGGTTTCCCTGAATCCCTTCATTAAATATTACCCTGCTCACACTCCAACAGATCGTCAGGTCCCAAGTATCATTCATCTCCATTCACTCCTATCTAACACGCTCACGCACGCTTGCTGGAAGTCCAAGCCCCTTGCCCACAAAACCTCCTTTACCCCCTCTCTCCAACCCTTTCGAGGACGACCCCTACCCCGCCTACCTTCCCCTATAGATTTATATGCTTTCCATGTCATTCTACTTTGATCCATTCTCTCTAAATGACCAAACCACCTCAACAACCCCTCTTCTGCCCTCTGACTAATACTTTTATTAACTCCACACCTTCTCCTAATTTCCACACTCCGAATTTTCTGCATAATATTTTGCTTTGATTGCTTCCTTGCTCCCAGTCATGAGAAATGGCAGTCTTTACAGTTATCACAAATATTTTATTTTATTAACACATCAGCTGTTTCCCACCAAGGCAGGGTGGCCCAAAAAAGAAAAACTTTCATCATTCACTCCATCACTGTCTTGCCAGAGGCACGCTTACACTACAGTTATAAAACTGCAACATTAACACCCCTCCTTCAGAGTGCAGGCACTGTACTTCCCATCTCCAGGAATCAAGTCCGGCCTGCCGGTTTCCCTGAACCCCTTCATAAATGTTACCTTGTTTACACTCCAACAGCACGTCAAGTCCTAAAACCCATTTGTCTCCATTCGCACCTGTCTAACACGTTCACGCACGCTTGCTGGAAGTCCACGCCCCTCGCACACAAAACCTCCATTACCACCTCCCCCTAACCTTTCCTAAGCTGACTCCTACTCCGCCTTCCCTCCACTACAGACTTACGTACTCTTGAAGTTATCACATATATTTACAATAAACAAAATGCTACAAATGGGACATTACAAGCTTAGCTTTGCTTCTATAGTGAGACCCCACACACCTGACTTGTTAAGAAACAAATGTGGGGGTCTTACACCCACTCCAAACCTGCCTTTTAGGAGGCAGGTGTGGGGGTCTAACACTCTCCCCACACCTGTCTTGTCAGAAGGAAGGTGTGGAGGTCTCACACCCACCCCACACCTGCCTTCTCAGAGTGTGAGCAACTTATACCCCAGCACACCTTATCAAGAGGTTGCAAAAAATCAGGTGAAGATTCATTCTCCTGCATACATACAGTCAGGAGGTGGGTACTGAAGACTCATACCCTCCCCACACCTGTGGTGGAATCACGCCTCTGTACCAACATTATCAGGAGGCAATGTTTTGTTTTTAAACACGCTTGCTGTCCCCTACCAAAACAGGGTGACCCTTGTTCCTAGCATTTAGTAATGTATACAGGAAAAGGGGTTACTAGCCCCTTGCTCCCAGCATTTTAGTTGCCTCTTACGACACGCATGGCTTATGGAGGAAAGATTCTTCTCCATTTCCCCATAGAGTACGAGGTGATGTATTTTAATTTTAGGTTTCAAGAAATGTAATTGATCTCAGTTGGGCTGAGTCTTTGAATTAACCCTTTGAGGGTCGACAGGCCCTCTCCGAGACTCGTTCTCAGGGTCGGACAAATTAAAAAAAAAAAAAATTCTTATGAAAAGATAGAGAATCTTTTCCCGATCATAATGACACCAAAAGTATGAAATTTGATGGAAAACTTACAGAATTATGCTCTTGCGAAGTTAGCGGTCTCGGCGAAGTTTACATATCGGCAATTTTGCCCACTTTGAGCCCCATTTTCGGCCAATTCCACTGTACTAGTCGACAAAAAACATTTTCTCTATTGAATGAGTGCAAGAAACCACCCTTTTACCAATTTCAACCATCCAGTACAGTGGTCAGAATTTAGCAATTTTGCCAATTTCACACAAATACAAAAGATGCCAATTTCTGAACAGGGTCCAGAATAAACAAGAAAGACATTCCTGGGACTAAAATGACATTTCCTCTGTTCATTAGTCACGTCTCAAGGCCCCTCTTACATTCTTTTGCTTTCCACTTTGAATTTTTATTCTCATAAAAAATAGATTTACTGTTATGCAGACTACTGCATTAGTGTGAAAAATGGTATAAATAATATTGGCACACTTGCGAAAGAATATTAGACTCACCAGTTGACGTGTATTGGATGCTTGGCATAATTTGTTTACTTTTGAACTTTCGTAAAAATCAAACATTTCTGCTACTTTGAGCTCAATTTCATGGTACTTTTCATCGTAAAACCAGTCAAAATCATCTGTAATATGTCTCCCATTCTATAAAATGAGACCAAGAAAACTAGAATACAACAATAAATACCATACGAAAATACAGTGCAAAGTCGCTGTTTTATTCCAAAAAAACGGTCCAAGTTTTCTTTTTCTCATTATGCACTGTGTGCTGCAGGATTTTTTTTATACTGTGCACACTGACCACATAGACCCATTCTTTCATATGTAGGCCTACCAGCTTTCTCCCACTAGATTTGAGGGCGCTAGAATTTAGGCGTACTAGTACGTCAAAAACCCTGGGTCGTAAGCCATACTAGTACGGCCGAAACCCTCAAAGGGTTAAAACTGATGCAATAAAAGTAAAACTGCCCCCAAACAAAATTTTTGTACAAATATCTTTTTGAAATGGGAGGAAGGGGCTAGTAACCCCTTGTCCTGCATAAATCAAAATGAAAAGTTTTAATATGATGTGCTACTCAACAAAGTGCAAAGCCAAAAAATTCCACATTAATTAAAGAGCATCAACTCCTATTTAATATTTTGGAGAGATGTGTTTTCTTTTAACACAGCAGCAGCAGCCGTCTGCCACTGAGGTAGAGTGACTCAATAAAAAGGAAACACTGTCAGCGCTATTCATTCCATCACTGTCTTGGAATATTTTTAAAATCAGTATACAGGAAGGCCCCATTCATATGGTTCTACGGTCAGCAACTCCAAACGGTAAGCAAAAATCACTAGTGTGTGGAAAAGAGCTGTTTTTTTATTATGAAATGTCTAAAATGCCTGATACCATTTTTACACTATCATATATTATGTGCTCAATATAGCTAGGCATAAAAAAAAAAGATAAAGTAAGATAAATACATAATACATACAATACTTACCTTAAAATACGGTAATGGTGGTCCTTCCCTTACACAACTGTTGTACAAAAATGGCGATAATGGTGGAAAAATAGTAAAAGCACCGAACACAATGAACAATGGCTCAACTGAAAACCACCGAAATATTAAGACAACAAAAAGAGGGTGTCAAAAATGCACGGTCCTACTGTACAAAGACTGATAAAATGATGCATCACTCAACACACACAGTAGTGCAGCCAAATAATTACTCCCTCAAGGGTACTGTTCCCTTCATTAAAAATTTTGGAAAGCTATATAACCTTAAACCTGCTTCTGGGTGCAAGAAAGACTTTAAGGTAGTTTGGTTGCACCGGCTTTCATGAAGACTAAGTTATAGAACAACAAAAATCCACACATCAACAAACCTTCACAAATATATAAATATATATGAGAGAGAACAAACACAACTCACTTGTGGTACAGCAGAATTTCCAAAAATGCCCTTAAGCACAGCAATGCAGCGGCCGACAATAACATCATCACTGACATTTTCCATTATTGCCGCAGCTTCACCAGCGACCAATGCTAGAAGAACTGGTGCTCGATACAGGTTCCAAAACAGAAATAATTCACCTGTGATGGGAAAGAAAAACTGTTTTGTATAAAGTAATACCAAATACAGTAGGACCCCCATATCTGCGGGGGATACCCCAGTATCCGCCACGGGTACCAACACCATGAACAGTAGCACACCTTATGTATAAGTCCTATACATACCTATTACAAAGTTTAATTAATAAATTATGCACAATAAGTGGAGAATTATCACTTTCTGACTGATGGGAAGCACTTCATGGGTTCTCTTAAGCTTTGAAGAACTGTCACCTTCTCTACATTTGCAATTTTGGGCCATTATTATACAAAATTAACAGGTATTTTTGAGCTACAGTAAACCATGGATAACTGAATTAGTGGATACTGAATTAGTGGATAAGGGGATTCTACTGTAAATATCAACAATTGACATAGGAACAAGCCCTTCATGTTAACATATGGAACCCAACAAGTAACATGGAACCCAACAAGTAACATGGAACCCAACAAGTAACATGGAACCCAACAAGTAACATTCAAAAATGTTGTACTGAGAAAACTGTATACCGCTTTCCATAAAAAATAAAAAACTTTTAAGAGAAAAACTTAAAAAAAATATACTACTGGAATAGCTTATATATGGGATGATATACGTAATTTAGAATAGCTTAAAACAAAGAAAAAAATCTACAATGCAGTTTAAAGCAATAAAGATGACCAATGAAGATCACCATCAATAAAGTTCACCATCAATAAACGTCACCATCAATAAAGATCATCAATAAAGATCACCATCAATAAAGATCACCATCAATAAAGATCACCATCAATAAAGATCATCAATAAAGATCACCATCAATAAAGATCACCATCAATAAAGATCACCATCAATAAAGATCACCATCAATAAAGTTCACCATCAATAAAGATCACCATCAATAAAGTTCACCATCAATAAAGGTCACCATCAATAAAGATCATCAATAAAGATCACCATCAATAAAGATCACCATCAATAAAGATCACCATCAATAAAGTTCACCATCAATAAAGATCATCAACAAAGACCATCAATAAAGATTACTTTCAATAAAGGTCACCATCAATAAAGATCACCATCAATAAAGGTCACCATCAATAAAGGTCACCATCAATAAAGTTCACCATCAATAAAGGTCACCATCAATAAAGATCACCATCAATAAAGATCACCATCAATAAAGATCACAATCAATAAAGATCATCAATAAAGATCACCATCAATAAAGATCACCATCAATAAAGTTCACCATCAATAAAGTTCACCATCAATAAAGATCACCATCAATAAAGTTCACCATCAATAAAGATCACCATCAATAAAGTTCACCATCAATAAAGATCACCATCAATAAAGATCACCATCAATAAAGATCACCATCAATAAAGATCACCATCAATAAAGATCACCATCAATAAAGTTCACCATCAATAAAGATCACCATCAATAAAGTTCACCATCAATAAAGTTCACCATCAATAAAGTTCACCATCAATAAAGATCACCATCAATAAAGTTCACCATCAATAAAGATCACCATCAATAAAGATCACAATCAATAAAGATCATCAATAAAGTTCACCATCAATAAAGATCACCATCAATAAAGATCACCATCAATAAAGTTCACCATCAATAAAGATCACAATCAATAAAGATCATCAATAAAGATCACCATCAATAAAGTTCACCATCAATAAAGATCACAATCAATAAAGATCATCAATAAAGATCACCATCAATAAAGATCACCATCAATAAAGATCACCATCAATAAAGTTCACCATCAATAAAGATCACCATCAATAAAGATCACCATCAATAAAGTTCACCATTAATAAAGATCACCATCAATAAAGTTCACCATTAATAAAAATCACCATCAATAAAGTTCACCATCAATAAAGATCACAATCAATAAAGATCACCATCAATAAAGATCACCATCAATAAAGATCATCAATAAAGTTCACCATCAATAAAGATCACAATCAATAAAGTTCACCATCAATAAAGTTCACCATCAATAAAGATCACAATCAATAAAGTTCACCATCAATAAAGTTCACCATCAATAAAGATCACCATCAATAAAGTTCACCATCAATAAATATCACCATCAATAAAGTTCACCATCAATAAAGATCACCATCAATAAAGATCACCATCAATAAAGTTCACCATCAATAAAGATCATCAATAAAGTTCACCATCAATAAAGATCACCATCAATAAAGATCACCATCAATAAAGTTCACCATCAATAAAGTTCACCATCAATAAAGATCACCATCAATAAAGTTCACCATCAATAAAGATCACCATCAATAAAGATCACAATCAATAAAGATCACCATCAATAAAGATCACCATCAATAAAGTTCACCATCAATAAAGTTCACCATCAATAAAGATCACCATCAATAAAGATCACCATCAATAAAGATCACAATCAATAAAGTTCACCATCAATAAAGATCGCCATCAATAAAGATCACCATCAATAAAGATCACCATCAATAAAGATCACCATCAATAAAGATCGCCATCAATAAAGATCACCATCAATAAAGATCACCATCAATAAAGATCACCATCAATAAAGATCACAATCAATAAAGTTCACCATCAATAAAGTTCACCATCAATAAATTTCACCATCAATAAAGATCACCATCAATAAAGATTTGTAGATGAATGGTTCAGAGAACCGACATGTTAATAAATTAGACACATGTGCAACTCTTGGGTATCTTTACTGAGGAAACGTTTCGCCACACAGTGGCTTCATCAGTCCATAAAAAGGAGAATCTTGAAGAACAGGAGGAGAATGAGGTAATCAGTCCCTCAACCTTGAGTCGAGTCGAGTTGAGTTGAGTCGACTCAAGGTTGAGGGACTGATTACCTCATTCTCCTCCTGTTCTTCAAGATTCTCCTTTGTATGGACTGATGAAGCCACTGTGTGGCGAAACGTTTCCTCAATAAAGATACCCAAGAGTTGCACATGTGTCTAATTTATCAACATGTCGGTTCTCTGAACCATTCATCTACAAACCTGTCAGACACTGCAACTTCTTGGGATCTTAATACTTGGGAATTCTTCGCTTGCCTAATTCTTGGGCACGACCTACTTCAAGATTGAACAAATGTTACACGACCTATGACTGCTGCACCTCTCCTGCCAACGGTTTATAAGCTCCTTCTCAGCACGTATGCCGTATTCTATTCAAGATTGATGGACTGACCACATCGACTCAAGGTTGAGGGACTGATTACCTCATTCTCCTCCTGTTCTTCAAGATTCTCCTTTGTATGGACTGATGAAGCCACTGTGTGGCGAAACGTTTCCTCAATAAAGATACCCAAGAGTTGCACATGTGTCTAATTTATTGCACATGTGTCTAATTTATCATCAATAAAGATCAATAAAGAGGGTGATTGCTAGGTTATGCTCACTGAAGAAAAATGTTATAATAAATGAGTTCAACTGATGAGTCTGCTTATATTTTATATTAGGTTACGTATATAATCACTAATTTTCTACTTAATTAAAATCAAAAGGTTGACTTTCACATAAGATTAGCTGAAAAAACTACAGTATTTGTTACAATACAGTTTCAGTGCTACAATTATGAGTCTTAAGCACATGTAATCAAAAATCAATTTAATAAAAACTTTTAAAATATGCTGAATACTGACATAAAAACAAAGCTACAGGACATTCAGACATTTAGAGAGGACAGAACAAAATACGATGACTTAGTGTGTGTATAAATCTGTAGTGGAGGGAAAGTGGGGTCAACCTAGGAAAGTTTGGAGGGAGGGGGTAAAGGAGGTTTTGTATGTGAGGGGCTTGGACTTCCAGCAAGCATGCATGAGTGTGTTAGATACAAATGAGTGGAGACAAATGGTTTTTATGACTTGATGTGAAGTTGACTATGAAAGAGGGGTGGGGATATTTGCAGTTTTGAACTGTGGTATCGCCCCTCTGGCAAGACACTGAAGACAGCCAATGTGTTAATAAAAAAAATAAGAATAAGAATAAGAATCTTTCCTCCCTAAGCCATGCGTGTTGTAAAAGTCAACTAAAATGCCGGGAACAATGGGCTAGTAACCCCTTTTACTGTAAAAATTACTAAAAAGAATAAGAAGAAAATTGTCAAAGTGGGAAGTCTGAATGTGCGTGGATGTTGTGCAAATGATAAGAAAGAGATGATTGTGGATGTTATGAATGAGAAGAAGCTGGATGTCCTGGCTTTAAGTGAAACAAAGCTGAAGGGAGTGGGAGAGTTTCAGTGGAGAGGAATAAATGGGATTAGGTCAGGGGTTTCAAATAGAGTTAGAGCTAAAGAAGGAGTAGCAATAATGTTGAAGGATAAGCTATGGCAGGAAAAGAGGGACTATAAATGTATTAATTCAAGGATTATGTGGAGTAAAATAAAGGTTGGATGCGAAAAATGGGTTATAGTAAGCGTATATGCGCCTGGAGAAGAGAGAAGTGTAGAGGAGAGAGAGATTTTGGGAAATGTTGAGTGAATGCGTGGGGAGTTTTGAACCAAGCGTGAGAGTACTTGTGGATGGGGATTTCAATGCTAAAGTGGGTCAAAATGTTATGGAGGGAGTAGTAGGTAAATTTGGGGTGCCAAGGGTAAATGTAAATGGGGAGCCTTTAATTGAGCTATGTGTAGAAAGAGATTTGGTAATAAGTAATACATATTTTATGAAAAAGAGGATAAATAAATATTGAAGGTATGATGTAGCACGTAATGAAAGTAGTTTGTTAGATTATATATTGGCGGATAAGAGGTTGATGGGTAGGCTCCAGGATGTACATGTTTATAGAGGGGCAACTGATATATCAGACCATTATTTAGTTGTAGCTACAGTTAGAGTAAGAGGGAGATAGGACAAGTAAGAGAGAGGTGAAAGTGTATAAACTAAGGGAGGAGGAAGTTCAGGTGAGATATAAGCAACTATTGGCAGAAAGGTGGGCTAGTGCAAAGATGAGTAGAGGGGGGGTTGAAGAGGGTTGGAATAGTTTTAAAAATGCAGTATTAGAATGTGGGGCAGAAGTTTGTGGTTATAGGAGGGTGGGGGCAGGAGGAAAGAGGAGTGATTG